GAAAAAGTGACCTGTCACTACAAGGCTGTAGCATTTCATTGGTGGTAGGAGATCCTCCAGGGTGACTGTGGAAGCACAAGTTGATACAGAAGGGCAGTACCAAGTCATTGCATGGAGGATAGTTGCTGTGGAGAGTCATGCAGATCTTCATCTGACTTTGTTTGAACAACCTTTGTTTTAAGTCCCTGAGATTTTCTGATGAGTTGTTATTACAGTACCACCCAATGGAACCTAACGCACCACTCCTTGGAAAATGCACTGATATTTTATATACTATTGAGAAATAAAGATGCCATTTATAATTGTAAGAGTTCAGTGTAAGATGCATTACAATCTTATATATGTTAAAATGGGAAAAATGTGGGCCTTAGATTAGATAAAATACAGACTGTTGAAGAAATTCAGAAAACCTAGAGTTGAACAGAAAGTTATGGATTCAAATCCCAATACTTAATAGCTTCTCTCTTTTTCCTTTCTTTCCTTCCTTCCTTTCTTTCTTCCTTCTTTCCTTCCTTCCTCCCTCCCTCCCTCCCTCCCTCCCTCTCTCTCTCTCTCGCTCTCTCTCTCTCTTTCTTTCTTTCTTTCTTTCTTTCTGATGCATTCTTGCTCTGTCACCCAGCCTGGAATGCAGTGGCACAATCTAGGCTCACTGCAACCTCCACGTCCAGGGTTCAAGCGATTCTCGTGCCTCAGCCTCCTGAGTAGCTGGGACTACAGGCACGTGCCACCACACACAGCTAATTTTTATATTTTTAGTAGAGATGGGGTTTCACCGTGTTGGCCAGGCTGGTCTCAAACCCCTGACCTCAAGTAATCCACCTCCCTCAACCTCCCAAAGTGTTGGGATTACAGGTGTGAGCCACCGCCCCTGGCCAATAAATTTTCTCTTAATAGCTTATATAAGCCTAAGTTTTCTCATCTGTGAAATGGGGGCATAATAGTAGAAACAGCCTCATAGAGTTTTGTGATTGTTAAATAAAGATAATTACTATAATGTGTTCAGTATAGTAATTATTTCATGTATTTTAGTTCCATATTTGGTTAAATCACAGTTTTTCAAGATAATACAGAAAACCTTTTAAAGTTTGTCATTACAATAATACAGAAAAACTTTTAAAGTTTATTATTATGTCATACTAATCAATCAGTTAGTGTTTATTAATTCCTCACCAGGCATGAGGACTGGGCCTCTGAGTAAGTGTTGTTGGAGACAAAAAAGAAGCAAATATGGAGGTTGGAAGCCCAAGGCAGACATCCTGGGGTCTTCTCATCCTCTCCCTAATGTGTTTTCTAGGTGAATCAGGGTAGAGTTAGCATGATGACTAGCCTTAAAGAGTAAAAGAAGTCACAAAATAGTACCTGAGGAATATATGAAAGATCAGTCCTATACCTATCTTAATGACTGGCAGGGGTAGTAGAGTGAAAATTGAGGATTAATTGCATGTCTGGAAACTTGGATGATCTGTGTGGCTGGAGAGAAAAAGAGGGGCGGGGGGAGAAAGCACGCAGGAGACTGCTAGTGGTTAGGGAGCAAAAGGATATGTTATTGGAGCAGAAGAGGGGGGCTCTTCTGAGATGCATATAATGTATTGTTCCTACCTGTGTAGCTATACTCTTACGGATTATGAAGTTATTCAGGGAACATTATTTAACTTATGGTATATCCAAATTCATAAAGCAGCATCTCTTGCTATAATTGTCTTCAGCTACAGATTTGAAGAAACCTAGGGTCGTTAAAAGGTATTACTTCTGAAGTTCATTCTGAAGTTTTCCTCATACATACTTTATGAACCTCCTTTCTGTCACCAAAGATGTGCATTGTGGATTTCAATACAATATTCTCACCTCAGTTTCTGAAGGACATATGCTTGTGAAGGAACAGGTGGCTGTTCAATATCATTATTTTTATTAAATGCCTGAACCATCACAGAGTAAGTCATTTTCTTTAAAGGAAGTATAGCTGCCTCTAAATATAAATCTGGGCTACAGCTCACCTTTTCTGTTTATTTTATTCTTAACTTGTGAAACTGTATCTTAGGACTTGGGGTATATAACTTGCTATTTGATATCAGCGGCTCAACACTGAATCAATTGTAATGCTTCTGGCACCAAAGGAAACAGAGGGAACTTAAATATGTTTACAGAAGACAAAAAGCTTCTTTTTGCCTACAGTTTACAACATATATTTCCACAGTTTTAGAATATTCAAAAGCCTCCCCCAAAAGTTTTCTCACTATTTCCCTCATTAAAGACTAACAGGATCGAACAGAGAAGATAACTCTCCAACCCACATATTATTTATCAGATGTTTTGGATGAAATTCGGATTTTAAAAACCGAAAGGCTCTCTCTTCCTCCTCCCATCCCAGCAACAGCATTAGGAAGGATACTCCCCACCGCAAAATACACCCACTCACACACTGGCGGATGTTGCACTATCATTCCAGGAGTGGGGGGAGTGTTGCTGCGACAGCCTTAGGCTCCTCTCCGCGTTATTGGTACCTGGATCTTCATAGGTGCGCTGTGGGCTGCTGCGGGCTTCGAAACCCAGCCAGAGGACTCGCGACTCACGACCTGGGTGTACCTGAATACGCTCCTAAGGCTACTGGGAAAATCACAAATAGAGGACGCCTGTACCGCAAAGCTCTTCCTAAAACCTCATCAGTCCTTCTCTGTTGATTCTTGGGCGTCTCAGGAATTGTAACTTTTCCTTGGCGCAAGTGTTTCTCGCGCGGACCCTCTGCAGGCGCAAAGCCTGACTCGCTCTGGCCTCCTCGCTTGCCCAGGATCTAGGCAGCCAGGCAGAGCAGGGTGCAGCTTCTCCTCCCCTCCCCGGAACCGAGAAGAAAAGAAATCAGGAGCGAGGAGGTGCTCAGCCCTCCTGGGTGTACTCCCAGGTATTTTAAAGTTGGCGTTTAAGAAAAAACAAAATGATGCTAAAATGCAAAATAGGCAACGTGGAGGTACTCAGCTCTCCTGCAAACACGCTCAGATATCTCTAATTTGACGTTTAAGAAACAAAACAATGCTAAAATGCAAATTAGGCGAATGAGCCTCGTTTGACAGGCCAAACTGAGATTTCAATGGAAAGCTTACTCATATCCCCACACGGAATTCATTCTTTTAGGAACTTAAAAAAATTGTGTAATTTTAAGTTCTACCACTGTCATAACGAACACTCCACATTAACTCGCAATGGAACAATGGACACCCCCATAATTATGTCAGGTAATTATGAAATGTCGCGGCGCGGGAAAGAGAAGCCGGGAACGTCAATGTGTCCTCTGCACCGTGTGGGAGCGCTCAGAGCCGCGCGTCTCAAGGAAACCTTATCCAACCGTCACACCAATGCCTCAACCGAGGGACAGGGACAGACTCAATCAGACCTCGGCCCCAGGCGTGGCCGGAGAGGGCCTAAGAAGGGACTTGTGAGCGCTGAGGGAGCGAGCACCGCTCGGTGGAGGTCAGACGCTAGCTGGGAAGTCGTGGGGAGAAAGTGCAACCGTACGGGGAGGGGAGGATCCCACCGGGGCGTGGCGAGGGCGCCCGGGCTCCGGGAGCGGGACAGTGCGCTCCCAGAAGCGCCCACTCAACTCAACCTTTTGGGCAAAACCCCGGATAAGGGAGCAGGTGGGGTCATGCGTAAAGCTGTTACTTTGTAGCAGGGCCTGAGTGAGTGAGTGAGAGAGAGAGAGAGAGAGAGAGAGAGAGAGAGAGAGAGAGAGAGAGAGAGAGAGAGACAGAGACAAGAGGAAAAAGAAATCAAGGGGCTGAAGGCCGAGATGTCCTACTTCTAAGTGGCTCTTTGAGAGGCAAAAGCTTACTTGCCAGCGCAGTCCGAGGCAGCGCCGCGTGGGGGACCGGCCGGGACGGGCCAGGGGACCTCTCCAAGGGGTCTCCAGTCTCCGCGCACTCTGCGGTGGCCCCCGGGAAAGGAAACTGCAGCCCCGTATTCAGCTGCCAGGATAGAGCGCGTCGGGGCTGCAGTTTCCTTTCCCCAAGACCCCAGCGCCGCACCCCCAGGCGGCAGGCTCAGTCAGCCCTCTCCCTGGGCCGGCGGCCCTCTCGCTAGGCGACCTCAGGTCCCGCGCCCTCCCACCGCCCAACCTCCTCCCTTCACCCCCATTCATTTTTCCTCAGCGGCTCCTAGGACAGGCTCAAAAACCAACTCCACACGCGACTAAGCCCACTTCGCGGAGCTGAGGAGAAGGGCTGGGGTAAGGGCGGGCGACGGCGCCCCGGGCGCGTGGCGGGGAGGTGGTGTCCGCGGGGGGCGCCGCGTCCCGCCCGTGCCCGCCGCGGATGAACAGGCGGCCGCGAGCAGCCCCCGGAGCTGCGCAGCATCCGCGTATCCAGTGACGGTGGAAGCCACGCCCGCTCTGGAGCCGGGGGGGCTGTCCTCGCCCCCCCACCTTTCCCCTCCCTCCGGCCCCCTCCCGGCCGCGCTCCCTCCCCTCCTCCCGCGCCGGCCCCCGGCCCGCCCCCGGCTCGGCTCACGGGAGGCGCTGGGCGCCGGGGCTGGCGCGCTCTCCCGGGCTCACACACAGCCGCGCACGCACGCCCGGGGCCGCTCTTCGCGCCGGCCCTTGCTCCCCGCGCCCATGCGGACGGACAGAGCGACGGAAGATGGCTGACGACTCCACGGGGCCCCGAGGATGCGGCCCGGCGGCGGCGGCGGCGGCGGCGGGAGCGGCAGCGGCAGCGAAGGCGGCAGGGGCAGCGGCAGCAGCGGCGGCGTTGGCTGCGGCGGCGGCGGCGGCGGCAGCAGGAGCCGGAGCGGCGGCGGCGGCATCCCCGAGACTCCCCGAGCTACCCTTACCCGTGACAGCCACTGACGTCCTCTGCAGCTAGAAGAGACCCCGCTTCTCGGCGCCCGCCCGCCCTCCCCCTCGCGGCCCGGCCCGGCCCGGCCCCGCCAGCACCGCTACCTCCGCCAGCCTCGCCACCATCAGCACCACCTCCACCGCCGCCGCCGCCGCCACCACCACCGCCGGCGGCGGCAGCAGCCATTTCATCTCCACAGAAACCAGACACAAAAACATGGCAGAAATGGAGAAAGAAGGGAGACCTCCGGAAAATAAACGGAGCAGGAAGCCGGCTCACCCAGTGAAAAGGGAGATCAATGAGGAGATGAAGGTATTTTTGGACCCCGGGGGCCGGGGAGACCGAGCTCTTTCTTGCGCCCGCTCCCCGTGGGCCGTGGTGTGGATCTGGGGGGTACCGGGGCGCGCTTGTCAGTTTGTGTAGGATGCCCAGAACCGCTCCGCTGCTCCTCCAGGTGTAAAGCAGAGGCCACCTCGCGGGCTGCATCCCCGAAATTTGCCAACCTCAGTTTTGATGAGTGGGTACCACATACTATTTAACCTTACGAACCCCAGGTTGGCACGGGCGCGTTTCAGGGCGAGGGCACCGGGGGCCCGAGCGGCGGTGGACAGGGGAAGAGGCTTTCCCAGTGGACGGTGCAGTTTCTCCCCCCTTTTTGGGAATCATCCTCAGGGTCCCTCCAAAGTTAGGAGCCGCCTGACCGGGGCACCCCGGGGAGAGCTCTATTCCGCCCCTCTCCCCCAGCTCACGCTCCTGCTCCTCAATCCCGCTTCCCCTAACCAACCAGCTGCGACGGCGTGAACAGCCTGTCAGTGCCCGGCGATCTGCGGCCCGTGAGGCGCGGGTCTGGGCACGGTCCTGACTGCTCGCCTCGCCCACCCCCGCCCGCTCCTCCACTGGCAGCCTCCGTCACTTCCCAGTGAAGCAGACCCCGGCCAACCCCGCTGGAGGACAGCTGTCTGAGGGGCGGCCTTCGCAGGGCGCCTGCCCATTGTTCGCGAAGGCCGGCCCGGAGTCCTCTTGGCGAGGCCGGGCTCCCCGCCAGGCCAGCGGTGCCCCAGAAGTGGCGAGCGCAGCAGCCTGTCGCTCCAGCTGTTCGCGTTAGAGCGATTGCACAAGAGCACCGCTCAGCTCCGGACCCCCTAGTCGTACCCCACCCTCTTATTTTCCGTGAAGTTGCGGCTTTTGCCTGGGCGAGGGTTTTATTCTGTGTTGATTTCACTAGTCTCTATTAATTTAAAACAATTATTTATTTTTTCTGCAAGCTATCAAAAAGTAGCAGGTTTGCATTTTTCGGTCTTCTTGGTGTTTCCCATCGTCTACACGAAATCCTTAATACTACCAGGTGGCTTAATACTACTACTTGGCCAGTTTTGGTTCAGTTTGTATTTAAAAGACAAGCAATGAATATAATAAGCAAGTAAATCAAATTTATTGCGCTCTGAGGCTTTCTTCATTAGAACAAGCATTTTTTAATCATAGCTCACGCTTAGGAGGGGACACATGGATTTACATCCTGTCTGTATGTGTACCTAGGTGCATATGCCTAGCTTTACTTTCCTCTCGGAAACATCAATAGTAATCTAAATGTCAGAATTAGGGATTTTATTACTGGATAAGGAATTGAGTACCTGGAAGCATGAGGTGATGCATGAGTCCAACGGAGAGCTGGGGAAGATTTGCCATGGAAATCAATGCCATTTCTTATGATGGAAGCCACCATTGATTCCAGTGATAGACAGTTTTTGTTTTGTTTTGTTTTGTTTTTTGACCAGTAGAAGTTGTTGTCTTTTGATGGGAACGGAATTCAAACAGTCCATTCTTCCTCACTTACCCTTCCCTCCTGTCCGGCATTTCCAGATTACTTTTGCATTTCATTTTAGGTTGGGGGTGGGGAAAGAGGAGAGTGGTGAAAGCCACTAGGAAATCGCAACGAGCTCTGGCCCTTTAAAACGCTGCCTAATGTGATCTATATGGATGGCAGCTTTTAAGTTTCATAGGTTCTAGAATTACAAATTAGCTAATTTTAATCAAAACATGTGAAATGTTATCCCGGCTGGATATAAAGGCTGACTGTGCTCGATGCTTGGGGCTCGCGTTGTTGATTTTGGCTGCAGGCGCACTCCGTGGTTTGGGAGATAGTTGTCCTTCTACAGTATAACAGATGTTTGTCTGAACTGGTGAGGAAGAAACAAAAACAACATTGTGTGAAGGGGAAAAATTACACAATTTTTAGCCGATGCTGCAGGACTAAGTATGTAATTAACCTTGGTGCGCAGAATTTCCTCTTTTTTAAAATGTTATTTTTCTTCCAAATCACCACCTACTATTTGAAGTTTTAATCCTCGTCCTTTCAATCCAGAGTAGCATTAAATAAGAAGTTTTACACAGCAAGTAACTCAATTGTCTGTAGGATCAGTATTTTCTCTCTGCATTGGACCAAAGTAAAATACCCCTGACCAAAATTTTTAGTCATATTCATATATACCATGCCAGAGAGTCCAGTGGAATGGTTTAATGGGCATTATTCTAATATAATAACACCAAAAGTCCTCACTTAAAAAGTCGTTTCTCAGAGTCAAAAGGTAGAAGGGTTATTTTGAACTCCTTAATATCTTTCTGTTTTTAATATGAATACTCACATCAACAAAACCTCTCCCCACACATCATGATGCTATTAGCCCTCCAGCTCCCTGAACCAAAGTGTAGAGTAACATGACAAGTTGGTTGCCCTGTATATAAATGTGTGCAACAAAATGTCACCAAGAACACAATGTGGCCTTGTGCAGCTTCATATCGGTGCTGCTGGAGCTGCCTGGCTGTGTTTGCCTTCATCTAAACGGCTTTCATCTGGACCAGTGTAAACTAAGCCCTGGTAAGTAATCACTGCCCAGCAGAAAGAAAGGAATGTATACAGCTAGCGTGGCCTAAGCTGTAAAAACGGAAACCTGAACCCCCACCTCGGATCACATATCAAGGCTTGAAGGTAGGGGAAATGAAAGGGGGAAAGAGGAGAGAGCAAATGGAAAAGTCAGCCTGGGAAGTGGAGGATCAGGAGGAGGCCCCCCTTAGGGAGATTTGGCTCAGGGATTAGGGAATTTTATCGTGGTGTACAGTGACCTACTCAGGTTTCAACACTGGTTGGATTGAGTTGATTCTCTGTGAGCTGAAAGAAAAAGGACTGGTGTGTATGTGATTTTTTCCCCCTTCGGGTAATAGAAAGGACATTGGTACAAGTGTCTATTTTAAGTACAGCAAATGCAGGGCACTGAGAATGAGCAACAAAATTGCCTCATCACAGAGACTTCCTTCAAGATTTCCTAACTGAGATAGTCACATATTTATTTTAAAATGGCCGGAGAAGACAAACTGGCTGAGGTTTAGCTGACACCAGTAATGGCATTGGAGAGTGTCTTCATGTGGCTGAGAGCTAATGCTGGTTGCTGTTTCACTAGATCAGATATTGTTACATTTTCATTATCACTGGTTTAATGTACATGGCAGTTGTAACAAATTTAAATTTGATACAATATAATTTTGTGTATGAAAAGTACATGACTTGGCATAGCTTGCTTATAGTGTACTCCCTGAAAATATCTTCAAGTAGAAATGTTTGTCTCACTATGACCTTTACAGTGTTTCTTTATCTTTCCATTTCTTCTTCCCTGATCCTGGTTTTTCCTGATTAAAAAGACCAATTGTATTAATGTACTTACAATTAGTATGCCTTATTTAATTAGTGGCTAGTAGGCAGAATTTTAAAAAATCAGCGATGCAGTGTGTATATGTTTCTAAAGTGAATATTGTGATTGTGTCTAATGTAATATGTCTCAGATATACCATTAGCTCACATATATCATAATAAATGAATGTCAGGAGAGAATTCCGACATATGGGAAGGTTAATTGGTTTCAGGAGTTCATCTAGAACATAGTAGATATAATATAAAAACTAACTTCTAGTGGATGTGTAAGTGTAAATATATGTGTCAGGTAAATATTATTGCACTTAAGGTTATGTATTTTATGCACATAGATCTTTTGTGATCAGTAGCTACCAAACAATAATACAACTCAAAATATCCAAACTATGAGTAGAGATTATGAGTCCAATTATTGCCTTTCAAAACTCTTTGACAAAATCAGCATGATTAGATCAAACAGTCTGTGCTGGAAACTTTCCTAAACAAAGCATAATTAATGCATTTAAAATGTTTGACCACTTTATCAATTGCTAAACTACAGGAGAATCTGTGTAAAATGTCAGAGATGCTTCTTTGCTGCAGAAGTTTTCTGTCTATAAATATTCTCAGTAAGTAATTTGTACCTAAAATTACGCTTCAGTCTGATGCCTACAATTTGAGTCAGGCACATCTGTTAGAGTTTAGTAGTAAACTTACCACAAGATTTTCTAGTTTGTTTTCTGATGGTCTCGATTTGGCATTAAAAATAACCTGTGTCAATTGCGTAGACAATAAAGCAAGTTGCAGAGCCAAGCTGGTGAGGTAAATAGCTTGATTTTAAGAGAGAGACAGAGAGAAATCAAAGCATGGATTGGAAAAGTCAGTGTGTTTAAGTTTGAAATTGGCTCATTATTAAAACAGGTATATTTTAAGTTTTGCTGTTGAAACTCAATCATGGTGTCAGAAGCAGTAAGTCTCAGGAACTTAGAAAGTGGGCTTAGGACCCCAGATCCCACTGTGGCATTCAGAAATTATGTTACACTCCTCTTCGCTGAGCAGCAGCCTCAGATGTGCCACGTGGCAGGGATGGGTTCTAATGTTAGTGGGGACATAGCCCTGGCCTCTTGGGAGCAGGTATAAGATGTTCCTGAGCCTTCAGTCTTGCCTCACTTGTCCTGCCAAAGGCTCCAGACTAACCATAAAAGACAGTCAGTCCTTCGAGAGCTTAGAGGGCTACATATTATGCTCTGTTTAAACCAGGGGTTTTCTGGGAAGAGTGTCTTTCTCTATCCATGAACTGGTGTGATGTACAGTAGAGTGTCATTCTTTATACTTACTTATACAACTCGTAGGTTCCAGAGACGAGGAAATGGAAAGGAACCACTCCACTTCCTCTCGAATCTGAAATAAACATTTGAACTAGAAGAAAATGAGTCTGACAGACTCATTCCCTTCTGCGTTTCCTGCCTCTGTGCTTGCCAAGCACTGCTCTGAGGAGCCAAACCCTACTCTCCTTGTGTGAAAGACAGACTTATAGAAACCAAGAGGTAACAGAATTTTTAAAGGAAAGTCAAAAACAGGGCCTCAGAAAGGGGCAAATATTAGCTAGTAGAGTGGCTCTCTCACAGGG